GTAACTAATAAAGACCTACTTTATAGCACAGGGAAATCTACTCAATACTGTGTAATGGCCTGTATGGGAAAAGAATCTAAAAGAGAGTGGCTATATGTATATGTATAACAGATTCACTTTGCTGTACAACTGAAACTAACACAACATTGTAAATCAACTATGCCCCAATAAAATAATTAAAAAAAATTTTTTAAATCCCAAGTTCTATGTATTGAATTGTTTCTCCCCCCACCAGCCCTAATTTATATGTTGAAGCCCTAACGCCCGATATGCCTGTATTTGGAGACAGGGCTTTTAGGAGGTAAAGTTACATGAAGTCGTAAGGGTGGGGTGATAATCCAATAGGACTGGTGGTCTTAAAAGAAGAAGAAGAGAGAAAGAGATCTGTTTCTCTCTCTACATGTTCATGCACTAAGGAAAGGCTATGTGAGGTTACAGCAAGAAGACAGGAGACAGGAAGAGAGCTCTCACCAGAAACCAAATCAGCTGGCACCTTGATCTTGGACTCCCCAGGGTTCAGAACTTTGAGAAATAAATTTCTGTTGTTTAAGCCACCCAGTCTCTGGTATTTTGTTGTGGCAGCCCAAGCTGACTAATATACCAAGTAATGCTGATGCTAGCAGTCCATGGACCACATTTTGAGTACCACTAGTCTAGGCCACATACCCCAGAAACTTTTCTAATTTGTCTGAGGGTAGTGCAGGGCGTCATTATTTTTTAACATTTCCTGGGTGATTTTAGTGTATAGACAGGATTGAGAACCACAGATCAAGACCAGCTTCTTCAACTTATGACTAGGATGCTGAGACTCAAACAGGTTAAGTGATTTGCCCAAGTTATCATGTATGCTATTGCTGAATTTTGCAAATTTATAGGAGAAAAAAAGAATTTCTTCACACAGCTGGTATTTGAAAGACACAGTCCTAGAACCCAGCACTCTCAGTTTCCAGTATTAAGCCACTCATTTTTCCCCAAACAACATTAAAATTTGTTTAATTCTGGCAGATTCATTTTAAGTGCCTTTTCCATTACAGTATAATCCAAGAATGTTGTAGTCTGTGCCCCTCGTCTGCTTCATAACAGTTGTTATTTGTTGCAACATGCTTAAAGACTGAATAGAAAGTGATATTATATATATATACATATACATGTATATGAGTATACATGTGGCTGACCTTCACACCACAATATTAATTTGCTCACCATGAACAGAAACACTGCTATCTAGCATTATGCTTCTTGTATAATAGCAGGAAACTTAGAAAATTGATTCATGCAATAAAAAGATGAAAATTTAAGACTCTTGAATGCCTTAAAAAACCCCAGGCATAAATGAGGATAAATGACCAAGATGGGTAGAATTTTACTGAAATTTCACCTCAAGGACAGGAGCTTGGTTTGGTAAGTATGTGGTGCTGAGCTTACTTTGCCCATAACTCGGTGGAAAATTATATCACAAGTAATATACACCGTCAAGTTTAACAATGATAAAGGAAACACGCTATCCTGTGTACATTTTGAGTAGGCATTTGATTTTCCCTAAAATAAGGCTTATTTCTCCTTATACATTGACCTTTTGTTAATGGAAAAAAATGTATCTTGACATTTTTAAATAAATTGCCACAGTTAATGTAAGATATGAGAATCTCAAAAGAAGTTAGTTGTACTTTCTTGGCCAGTGATGCAGCACGGAGAAGTGGGAGAAAGGAAGCTTGGCTAGGAACCAAGAGGACTGACTTCTCATCTGTACCAGTAATTAGCGGCAGGGACTGTAACAATCACCACCTATGTTAACCTCAGTTTCTTTGTAAAAGGAAAGGGTTGGTATTATTCCAAGGTTCTTTTTACCTTGCTTCATAGATCATAAGTGCCTCTAAGGAATGCTGTTTTTCTGTTAGACTGTACTTGGGCTTTTAAATTTTGTTTCCATTTGTCCACAAAGGGTAAAAACAGCCACTCAAAAATTGCACCATTTTAAAAAGTCTTAAAAATTAAAACACAGAAGAAGAAACAAGTCTGTATTATTTGGAAGCAGGTTAGAAAAAGATATTGAAAAATGCCATTGGATCACATACTTAGGTTTAATATCAGCAAACTGTCAATTATTCCTTATCTAAAAGATACTATGAATGCAAAGCAAACAAGATTTTCATTGCCTGATACAGTTAATCTCACCAGTAGAAGAAAAAGCCTGCATAGCCTGGCTATTGGAATTCATTATTTATAATAGTTGGGCAGCAGAAATGTGAAATGAAACCTTATATTCTGAAAGCAACTTCACTAGTTCAGCCATTACTGAAATCAAGTAATACTTCCCCCAACTGCATATCCAACAAAAGTATTTAGAAATAAATATATCAGTGAACTGATATAAATGAAAACCAATCTTCACAATATTTTATATCATTATTAAACCAGTACAAGTGTGGCAAATAAACCTATCGTCTAAATCTAATGCTTCATTTGATTCAAGTGCCCATTGAGTAATACTCCTGTAGACCAGTGGTTCCCAAGCTTTCTATACATTGGAATCACAGGGCTTTAAACACCCTGTTATTATGCTTTGATTGGTACAGGCTACAGCCTGGGCATCAGAAGTTCTAAAAGCCCACAGGTTGTTCTAAAGTACAGCAAAGTTTGGGAAGCACTGCTATGGAGTATTGGTTCTAACTTTGGCTACATACTGGAACCATCTGGCATCTTAAAAAGAATATGGGATGTCTGGACGTCATCCTAGAAAGAATTAAATAAGAATTTCTGAGAGTAAGCCTGAGCATTGGTGTGTTTTAGGTACTCCCGCAGGTGACGCTAATATGCAGCCTTAGGGTTAGAGTTCTACTACAGAATACTGCCTGAATAACTCCTTATGGCCTCTCGAATACATGAGCATAAAGCCTCATAAGGTTTGGCTTCCAAACTAGTGCAAACCTGGCATGAACTCAACTACTTCAGCAGGGCTGCGAGTGGGGTGTATGAAGAGAGAAGTTGGGCTATTTCTTGAAATAACAGACCATAACAATACATGGACATTTGGCAATCAGATTCCTGGGCCGTGAACCTGTCCTCAGAAACTTCTTAACACAATTCTTCCCTAGTTGTACTTTTCTGGAAAAAGCCAGAGTTTGGTAAAAAGAGGGGAATTAAGTACTACCCAAGCACCTGAATCACCCAATTAAAAACACCTCAATAAATATTTATTTTCTAAATTCCTCAGTGATGTCCAGATTTCTTTACAATTCTCAAAAGCCATGTTTAAGAAAAATACTAAATGCTTAAAATTTTGAGCCATTCCATAACCTGAGTAAAGAACAAACTTCTAATTTCATCCATTCATGTGGCAAAAATTAATAATCATTTTTGTAATTTCAGAGAATAGTGCTATAGTTTGGTAGGTGGAAGGGACACCTTGGGTAGTTGTATGGTTAGGCCATTCAAGATGGCTGTTCTCTGGCTCCCTGTACATCTCCTGCTGGACCAGTCCCTGATTCTCTCATACAACTATCCAACCTCATAATTGTAGGGCTTAATTTGTCCCTGTAACTGATGAGCCCACCTGATGTCAATTCCACCTATAAATAGTAGCCTCCTCCCTTGAGTAGAGAAGATTGTTGCCATGTTGTCTGTTGTAGGCAGTGGGGTGCCCCTCCAGGACATTTTGCTTAAGATCCCCTGTCCAATAAACCATTGATGTCTCTGTCACTGTTTCCAAGCTCTTTCTTTGGTCTCCAGGCTGGGCAACTACAAGGCTTGCAGGCCTGCAGGGTGCAGCCCAACAGTTTAAGGTAACTCAGGGGATATGTAAAAATCATCAATTTCAAAAGTCAATGGAGCATGAATGGAGGATAACTTTCATCTGAGACCAGGACACAGACTGTAGGTGGGGCTTTAGATATGAAAAGTTAGTATGGGCCAAGTGGTTTAGTGGAAAGAGCCTGGATTTGATAACAGACAACATAATCATGTGTGGTCTGAGCCATTACATCTTGGGAAATTCACTTCAACTTTCTGAGCCTCTGTTTCCTCATCAGTCAAATGAACATAGTAATACTGACATCAGTGCCTGTGAGGATAAAATGAGACACAGATAGAAGTACCTGGCACACGTAATGATTGATCTGTTAAAAGATTGTGAGGCCAGGAAACATGTATCTGAAGAATTATATGTAAACGCCTCAAATTGTGACTGAGGGTGGAGGGTTACAACTCAATTATGATTAAGAATGTAGGTGAGTGTTTCCTTTCGTATTAATGATGAAAGCTAAGTTCAGGAAGCTTGAATCATCTGGAGATGAAGCAGTAGCAGCAGAACAGTCTAGGCAGTGGCAAGGAGCAGGTCAGCACTGGAAGAGTCAGGGAGGTGACAGGCCTGAGAAAGGAAGGTTGGAGAAATTGGTGGTGGATGTCTGACCGGGCTGAATGCCCGGAGACGGAAGGGGAAGCTGAAGGATATTATCATTGAGGAAGTTAGTACAAGTATAGGGCAATAGGGTTTGAGCAAACCAAAATGATCACACCTCTTCGGTGACTCGACGATGTATCTCTTAGATGTAGGGTAAGGTGGTTTTATGAATAGACTAATTTGGTCTGAGGGGGGAAAAAAAGGCTTTTCAAGGATTGAAGCAGGTATACAGTCATGGACCAGCTGGCTGGTTAGTAAAACCTAAAGGGCAAATTTGAGTTTAATGACTTAAACAAGAGAACAGAAACCATATACTGGTAACAGCCCTGTAAGACTGGGGTTCATTAGGCTAGAGCCAAAAATAAACTAAGGACAACAACAACAAAAATACATTTTGTAAGATCATAGAAGGGATATACCTACTTAAGGTAAGTGGATGATAAACCAGAACTAACTCCCTTTTTTCTTCCCTATCATGGAAAAAAATAACCCTTCAACCTGAAAGAGTAAAATGTACTTTGCAATAGTTAATTGAAAGCTAAGATAGGTGAAGAACTTGTAAGAAAGCCTAGCTCTCTAAAGCTTAACTTCTCTTGCCTAGAAAAATTACATCTCAGCAAGGAGAGTTTACAAATAAGGACTTTCATCTAGAATCAGCATCAGAGATGAACACTGAAAGACTGGGGATGAACAAATGGAGTTCCAGTTTTCAAAAAAAAGAAGCAGCTCGATTCCTGAAACCAAAACAAGGAGCTTGTCACAGATCCTGAGCAAAATGAATAAACCTATGATTAAGGTAATATCTGGGCACTTAGAAAAGGAAGAAACTCAGAAGTTAACAAGAATTCACAAGTAGTCATTTCCTTTTTTGGACTATATTGTAACACCATATAGCAAGGACATCTAATAGACAAAGCACATCTGCTGTTTGGGGCTGTAACTGGGGGAAGAGATCACTTTTCCCTAATCCCTCAGTCTGGGAAATGATGGTGTACTTTAATTTCTACAAAGATGTCACGCACCCATGTGCATTAGCTGCTCTGGGACAAGAGAAGAAAATATTAAGTTACGTGAGGTTCCTCAACTGATGAGAATATTCATCAACAGCATGCTAATTCAGTGTCAGCAGTGGAAGGCATCTGAGAATGAGAACTTGAATGTTGACATGGCATACAGACTGAATTTGCAGAACATGTGAAGCTGGGACGTAGAATTACTCAGTTACATCAGTGATACATAACATGTCCATAAGCTAAAAGAAGAGGCCTAACTTAACATGTGATTCTATTAAATTTTATTGTGCTAAGTGTTGAACAAACTATAATGGGTGTGGCTCGGGAAGAAGTGTTTTGGAGTGGGTGAGAAAAAGACATTATTGCTTCCGAATTTTAGTAGATTGTAATATAGGAGTCAATAGGGTAATATTGCTGCCATAATAGTGCCTAGGATTTACTTGGGGAAAATACAGTAATTAGAACCAAGCCGTTAAACATCTGTGTTATTTGAATAAAACCTTGAACTCAATTTTGGGGATCAGATTTTGAGAGGAACAATGGCAAAGTAAACCACCTTCCAAGGGCTTTCAGAAAAGATAAGGAAAAGCTGATGGAGTTGGTAGGTATCCAGACAAATTGAAGCACTCTCCTGTGGAATTCATGCTAAATGCATCCTAGAAGACCCCAGAGGGCAGGATTGCAGATCTTTGAGCCCTACTATTTGGGGGGCCATTTGCAAGAGGTGGATGTTATTCAGAAGCAGATTTCCAGGTCAATTTACAGCAAAACTGGGGGCAATAAAAGACAGTGGGTACTGTCTCCTTTGAAGATTTCTTTTCTTCTTTCTCTTTTTTTTTTTGTGGTACACAGGCCTCTCACTGTTGTGGCCTCTCCCGTTGCGGAGCACAGGCTCCGGACGCTCAGGCCCAGCGGCCATGGCTCACGGGCCCAGCCACTCTGCAGCATGTGGGATCCTCCCGGACTGGGGCAGGAACCCGTGTCCCCTGCATCGGCAGGCGGACTCTCAACCACTGTGCCACCAGGGAAGCCCTCCTTTGAAGATTTCTTAATCCTGGTTGCACATTCTGATCGCCTGGGAAGAGATTTTAAAATGCTGATGGTTACATGTTAGCCCTAGAGATTCTGATTTATGGGTCTTGTGTGGGGTCCCCATTAAAAAGTATTTTATCAAAGCTCCCCTGCTGATTTAATGTTCTAGGTTGGAGAACCACTGAGTTAGATGACTACTTATCTAAAGGTTAAATAAATCAAACCAGACGCTTTTTCTAAGGTCTCTTCCAAATTTGAGAAGGTAAGTGTAAATTAACACTTACGGGTTATATACCACAGCTAGACACTTTCACAATGAATCTTCTCTAATAATTGAATTAATATATGTAAATCTCTTAGCACAGTATCTGGCATGTAGTAACTCAAATATTCAATATTTTTATTGTATCTTCCCTATAACTGTTCGATGGAGGTATTATATCTCTACATTACAGATGAGAAGACGGAGGCTCTGAGGTTAGTTTTCCAAGGACCCTCATAGTAAATTGCAAAATGAGGATTTAAACCAGATTAAACTAGTTTTAAGTTCTAGAGCCCCTTATCTCCTCCACATTCCACCTCTAAAACATCTGGAAGTTTATGCAAATTAGTGGTTTACTTGAGTGAACATTTAAAATATTTTAACAAAACCACTTCCTCTTGACCATTTTGTAAGGAATTTCTCTCCAAATGCAATTTCTGAAAAAAAGAAGCATACAACTCGACATCCACATTTCTTTCTAATGTGGCCTGAGGGAAACTACTCTGTAGGTCTTGAGATACTCTGAGGTACTCTGAGGACGGGAAATGGAAGGAGGTGGCCCTTCAGAACTCAAACAAAGCATGGGAGAAGCAAGGGAGAAAAGCACTGCTCTCAGGTAAAACATCCCTAGTGCTAAAGAATGGATGAACATCTGTCACTGTACCGCCTAGCTCTGGCAGGTTAATTACAAGCCAAGGCTGAGGAAGCCCTGCGGTGACGGCCCTGGTCTTGTCTGCCACTTTCCTGAGGCCAGGTTGGATCAGGCTGTGTGCAATGGCTGCTGGAAGAGAAGGCAGGAAACTTCTCCAAAGGGGCTGTGACTACTAAGGTTGCAAATCCTCCACCTGAAAAACTCAGACGGATGAGGGGAGTCGGTCTCTCTCTCCTTCTCTCCCTCGTCCACCCAGGCCTAGGAGATAAGGTAAATTAAATTTCCTCTTGTGCGTTGTATATATCAAATGTTCTGTTCCTGACCCTTTACCTTTGATTAACATCCGTTCAGTTTGCAGGGTTCAGTGCTTTTGGCTTTACTGTATTTTGTTAGTACGGTTAAGGCGAGGACCGCTTCTAAATAGGTGATTTCCACCCTTCTGTCTGAGAAGAGAGTAAAACCGAATTCGGGAGAAACGGAGGGGTAACAATTTTGGAAAAGGCGAGGGGAGTGGGTAACAGCCTCGGTGGTAAAGTTCTCAACGTTGGAGGAAAACGGTTTCCTCTCCCGGAGCTCTATGGAAGCATCAGCTCCTCCCCTCGGGCCTCCAAAAGTACCCTTCGCTTGGGGGCGATTCTAGAGTTGAACCCGAAGCGCGTGGGGTCATTAGAAACTAGAGCAAGTTGAAGCCAAAGAGGCCTGGCAGGGTAGGGGTGCGTGGAGTCGGGGCCCGAGTGGAGGGGAAGGCCGAGAGCCGCGAGTCCCGGGAGAGGAGGAGGAAGAGAAAGCGGGGCGGGCCGGAGGTCGGGGTCCGGCGGCGGGAAGGGGTCCCCGTTTCTCCCTCCCCGTCCTCGCCTCCCGGGGCGCTGGTGACGTTGCGGTTTCCTCCTCCCTGCAGCTGAGCCTCAGCGCCCGCCGCGTCCCGCCTTCCTCCCCTTTCGCCCACACCCCACCCGCCCGCGCCGGCCCGGCTCGCAGTAGCGCCGCCCGAGGCTGCAGCGGCGCATCCTGTGGCGCGGCGCCCACCCGCACCCATGGCGCGGCGGGCGCGCTGAGGGCTCGGCTCCGAGGGCGCCGGGGGCCCGGGCGCCCTGGAGTGAGGGGGGCCGGGAAGGGCTTCCGGAGCCTGGGCCCAAGCTGGGAGGCGACGCCCGAGAGGACGAAGCCGCGGCGGGGAGCGGTAAGCGGAGGGGCGCGCGAGTGGTGGGCAGGGGCGCGCGACGGGCGCCGCTCTGGGCCCCGCGCGGCGCAACTTTCTTCCGGAGATTCGGGCGGGTGGCCGGGCGCCGGCGGGAGGCAGGCGAAGAGCCACGTCCCCCGCCGGGCGCAGAGCGCCGCGAGCTGCGCGCCCGAGCCCGGTTCCGCTGGGCTCCTGGAGGGCGCGCGAGGCGTGAAGCCGGAGCCGTGGGTTTCCCCGGCAGCGAGGCAGCTTTTAGTCCCTTCCCAGCCCTCGAGCGCCCAGCGCAGAGCCGGGCGCACCATAAGAACTCAGATCACTTTCGGTGCGTCGGGTCCGGCCGGCCCAGCAGCGATTTCCTGGACGGCCGGGGGGCTCCGGCTTCCCTCTGCCCGGTAGCCTGGCACAGCTTCGCGCCCTCCTTTCCCTGCATCTCTCCGTTAATTGGGGTGGTAGTGGTCGTGGGTGCCGATGCTGGCGCTGGCAGCCCGCCTCTGCGATTGTGGAAGCTGGGCAGGCACGTCCCGAGCCTCCCCCAGGCGCTGGATTCCAGAGCCGCCCGGCTCCGCAGACACTTGGAGAAATTGTTGGTAAACCTCACTCCCTGGCAGCCCCTGGTGGTAGGGTGGGGCTGGGACGTGCTTGACTCACAGGCTGGGAAGCTCTGTGAGCAATGCCACATGGGCGCAAGATCTGTCGCGGCTGGAATCTGAGCTAAGTTTGTGACCCGAGAACTTTCTCATTTTCATTGCTCATTTGAGGCATCAGCCTCTGCTTAGGCTGGCGGGCATTAGAGCTGAAACCGAATCCATTGCTTAAAAAAAAGTAAGTGAGCCTCATTTACCTGGAATTCCTTAGATCAGGAAATGGCACTTTTAATTTCTGGGAATCTCCGTGTTATAAAGTTTTTTAAAACGTTTTTTCATTAGTCATGGTTTAGTTAATGTTACATTAAATTTGAGAAGGGACGTTCTCACTGAGAAATAGTTTCAAAACAGGTTTTTTTTGAGTATTTTATTTTTCACATTATAGAGTTAACCTTTCAGGAATTTCCTTTTCTTCAGTTTTTAAAAATTTCTCAATAAATGATAACCCGTATGAAATGAAATATTATGTGCAATGTTTTTTATTATTATTTTATTTTATTTTATTTTTGGTTGTGTTGGGTCTTCGTTGCTGCACACGGGCTTTCTCTAGTTGCGAGCAGGGGCTACTCTTCGTCGCGATGCGTGGGCTTCTCATTGTGGTGGCTTCTCTTGTTGCAGAGCACGGGTTCTAGGCACATGAGCTCAGTAGTTGTGGCACGTGGGCTCAGTAGTTGTGGCTTGCGGGCCCTAGAGCGCAGGCTCAGTAGTTGTGGTGGCCGGGCTTAGTTGCTCCGCGGCATGTGGGATCTTCCCGGACCAGGGCTCGAACTCGTGTCCCCTGCATTGGTAGGCGGATTCTTAACCACTGCACCACCAGGGAAGTCCCTATGTGCAATGTTTTATAGAATATTCTGACACTACTTCTAAAATGGGATCCCCAAATTGTTCGTAATGTGCATGGAAAAAATAAAATACAGCATTATCTGAGTATTTGTGTGTCATGTACTACAAGGTCCCATACAGATACGTGTCCTTTTATGAAGTGTGCAGGTAAGATGTGTTCTAGTATAACT